GTTAATGCCATAAATGGCCCTAAGAGTAAGGTGGAAGCAACTCTAAGAGATCCATTTGGTTCAATCAGGATAATTCTCTGGGAACAGTACGCTAATCAGGTACAAGAAGGGAAAACTTATGCCTTCAAGAACCTGAAAGTAAGAAAGAATGGTGACTGGCACGAATTAACAACAGCAAGAGATGGATCTACAACTATCACAGAAGTTGAGCCATTCAAAGAAACATTGGCCACCCCAACAGACAACCCCGAATCATTTCTCATTTCTAAATCAACTGCCGAAATACTAGGAATTTCTCAGTTTTCAGTGTACCACTCCTGTCAGGTGTGCAAGAAAAAGCTTCATGATGAAAACACCAACATTCTGAAGTGCAGTAATTGTGGCCTCAAGCAAAAGTTAGCAAAGTGTAGCAAAAATATCAACTTGCAAATAGTAGTGAAGATTGTTAATAACACCAATCTTATATTTACAATTTTTGATCAAACAATAAAAAACCTACTGATTGCAATAGGAAAACAAGATATGCCCCAAACAGAAGAGAATATTACTGAAGTTTTCCTTGATCTACCTCTAGTGGAAATAACTTACAACAAGAAGACTAAAATTGTCACTGATATTGTGCCAAAGGCTTAATTTTTGTTCTCTAACTGTAAGCTTAGTTCACAAGTTATGTTCAAGTTCATTTAATTAGTAGAAGGGACCCATGTTACTTCCAGTTACACAATATTGAAATGTTCCAGTTAGCTTTTCCTTTGTTAATTTATTCAGAAAATATTGAAAAACGAATATTTACATCAATTAGTCATTATGATAATACTGAATGACATCGTTACCTTTGGACTGAATTACTTTCCTTGTTTTCTAGCTTTTTCTCATGGACAGCAGTATGTTTGGAATTTGTATATTGTACCAAGAATTTTTATTTTTTATGTGAACAGAGCTAACTGAAAGGTCTGTGTCAGATGTTTTTGTTGAATGCAATTACATCCGTTCCAATTACACAATATCGAGTTCTTCCAGTTTCGTTGCTTAATTCACACTGAACTAAAGTTTTGATGGAACAAGTATTCTCCATTTCTCCAAGTAAGCCCTTCACTTAGCCCGTGACATGTAGTTATTGCTACTTTGTAATCAATTAGAGTACTGGCTAGATATATGTTTCCTTTAAAGATTGGCAGTTTCTGGTTAATAAAATGTTACGTTTTACATTCGTCGTTTGTTAGCAGTGTTCTTTGCTCATGTACTTTCTTACGATTGCAATGGACTAATATGTTACAAAACCCCACAGTGAGAATCAATTCAACCCAAACCTTTGGCAACAATACACCATATCACCAGCGGTCCTAAAAGACACGTTGCTGATAACTAAAACAATATTCGACATTATTAATACTGAGATCAGAATGAACCCCGGGATTGGCCGAGCCAGTACCAGGTCGCCTAAAGGGAATATTCTTATGCGCGGCCTCGATCCATGACGTTGTATAATATGCGGAGCTAAAAAAGGCCTGGCAAATTCCTTTAAATTTGTCGGGTTGCAAACCTTTTTTCTCTTTAAGATGGCTCGCGTTGATCTGCGCAATTCATGGTTCGTGCAAAGGTCCCTAATAAGTTGTTACACATTGTGTTCCTCCAAGAGTTACTAGTAGCAGGGAGAAGACAATTCGAATGCACAGTAGAAATAAGGATTAATTAAATGCAGTAGGTAATCAAATTACAAATTAGAATCAAGTAATCGGTGTGAAGTCATGTTGAATTATGCGGATGAAAAGGGCGAAGTTGCGATTGAAGGCTACGAGATTATAATTGAAGATTGTTGCTGAATTTGTGTGGTCCCAACTAAAAAAAAAATACAGCAGTACAAAAACTAGAAAGTACCCCAGGAAATGTAACACATACCTAACTAACAATGAGACGATTACAAAGAGAACTGAGTGCAACAAATAAACCAATATAGTCAATACAAACGGAAAGGGAAATATCGTAAATATAAAATAAAGGAAGACTTACTTTGGTCTAGCTCCTAACGATAGCAGATGAAAATTTGAAAGTAGCAGCAGCAACTAGTGGCGGTGAAGCATGAAATACAATATCTGATACATGTGCTCAAAAGAAAGTGATTGAAATGGCAAACTTATTAAGTAATAATAATTAACGAATAATGGATTAATTGTTAAAAAGAAACCAGAACAGAACACAAGAGAAAAGTACACGAACTAAGCGTTTCGAAACTAACGCTCATGAGAATACAAACCCTGTAATATTTTCTCTTAACCAAAAGCTATTGATAAAATGCAAGGAAAATAAGCAAGAAATATCTCTTTATTCCAAAACGTCTTAAGATAGACCGTTCAAAAGCGAAAAAACTGAGGAATTTCTTGGACTTGCAAGACCTAGGCGATATATGCACCATCGTTGTTTACATAAGTTCAAGGCCACAGCGTTGTGTTAAAGATTCTGAAAGTTAAATAATTTAAAGACAAAATCTTCGATTTAATAATACCTTTAAAACATATGAACACTATAAAAAAAGAAAATTTATCAGTCCAAATGATAGTCAAATATCGCAGAGCCTCACTTGAAGTCAGGAAGTTCTGTTTTCATTTTCCAGTCTTTCCTTGCGCTGTTGAGAATTGCATTTTTCGTTACTCCACAACTAATTCCGTCGCTTTTACGCTTAAATTTAAACTATTCCTAGAATATGTAGTTTCCGTTTAAGCTCCAAAAAGTCTACCTTCATTGGGATAGATAGAAAGAGGTAACAACTGTATTCCACAAAAAATTCGAAGCACATGTAAGCAACTTGCTTGCACCTGACACATGTATGCCTTTGCATACCTATTTTTCGTTTGTCTCACGATGTAGTCACGTGTGCTAGTCTTCTTCAGGCGATGAGGTCGACTGGTCATGTCTCTTTGACCTTGCGCGTGTAGTACTAAGGGTCATGATCAATAAATGTTACTTCGTTTCAGAGAGAGGCCGTTTACAACAAGATCAGACCCCGACACAAACAGCCGCTTATAATCTACGGTTTACCGAAGATCCATAAGGCCGATATACCGCTAAGACCTATTGTGTCGTGCGTAAACACACCTTTACATATGATGTATCCGCTTACTTAGCCAACATCTTGTCTCCTCTAACAGGAAAGTCAGAGCCAGACACGGTGACCAATTCAGCACACTTCGTATCCGTCAGCAATGAGGCGATCCTAGACAACGAGATCATGGTATCTTACGCAATTTCGACGTCGAATCGCTGTTTACCAACGTTCCTATCGACGCCGCTGTACAAGCCGCACTGCAGAAACTCAAGAACGACCCAAACCTTGCAGACCGCACCACGCTAGCGCCTGCACAGATCGCTGACCTTTTGACCTTCGTATTGAGATCCACATACTTCCAGTATAACTGATTGATTCACGAGCAAAAGACGGCGCCGCTATGGGGAGTCCGGTTTCCGCTGTTATTGCTAACCTCTATACGGAAAGTTTCGAAGAACAGGCTATAACTAGATCATCCTTCGAGCCTAGGATCTGGAAACGCTACATGGATGATACCTTTACCATCCTGGATCGCGAAAACGTGGATAACTTCTTACAAAATCAAATCAACCAGCAGCCTACCATCCGCTTCGCTATGGAGACAGAGAAAGACGACAAACTCGCCTGCCTAGACACCGCAGTTTTAAGAGGACCTGACGGCCGCCTCACCACCAGCGTATACAGGAAGCCCACGCACACCGATCAATACTTAGCGTATGATTCACACCACCCTCAATCAGTAAAACGCGGTATTGTTAAGTGCCTTTACGAGTGCGCCAAACGTCTCGCAACAAAACCCTCCGTCATTTCCGAGGAGAAAAAACATCTATCATCTGTTCTGGTTTCTAATGGTAATCCTTTTTCTTTTTTGCAGAAACTTACCAAGACCGGAAAACCAAACAACAGTGCCGAACCCGCCAACGAGTTCAAACCTACTGCGGTTTTACCTTATGTCAAAGGTCTGAATGAATGAATGAATGAAAAAACTTCGTCGTTGCCTACAACAACAAGGCGTACGCGCTGTTTTCAAGTCGGAGACTACGCCAAGATCTCAGTTAGTACGACCAAAAGACGCTGTCGACCCGGCTTAACAAGATGACGTAGTTCACAGGATTCCCTGTGAGTGCGGCAAGGTGTAAATCGGAGAGACTGGAAGACCTATGCAAGACAGAATTAGGGAGCACGATCGAGACATCCGACTCGCCTGTACCGAGACCTTCGCCGTTTCAGAGCATGCCCACAACGCCGGACACAAGCCACTCTGGAACGAAGTAAAGTTTATTGATCGTGACCCTTATTACTACACGCGCGAGGTCAAAAGAGGCAATTCATATAAGATTTCACCCCAACAATATCAATAGGGATAGTGGAATAGAAATTCCAGAAGCGTGGATACCCACGATCAAAAAACACCACAACAGGAGAGCCGTGCGACAGCGGACCGCCGAGAGAGTAAATCACTGAATGAAACAGCAAGGATGGAAATGCACCAATCAGAGCTGTTGAAAAACACGGCAGAGCATCATGCTTTATAAGATCACGCAAGACTAGTCGACCTCATCGCCTGAAGACGACTAGCAGTATGCAGTCGAAACTTCGCGATCTACATCACACGTGACTACATCATGAGACAAACGAAAAAACTTAGCTTTCATATTTTCTCTATTTTCATAAATTCGTTTAGTATATTTAACTGAAAAGGCTTTAATAGATTCTGAGCAGTTTGTAAAACAACTAGTCCCATATCTAGGGTTGTTAGTCCTTTCCATTCTTAATTTTCCCAGACATCCCTACACCAATCAGAACCTCCGTCTAAAACCTCTATAGCCAATCAATTCTTGTGTTAGTTCCACCCTTGTCGTAAGGAAGTTTCTTTCCTCTTTGTTGCCTATTTATGGCGATGATTCTATTTTCGGTTTCGATAAACTCATCTTTGGACACCAAGGACATTTCTGAAATGATTTGTCATTTGAAATTTATCTTTCTATGGATTTTATTTCTAACTCAACTCACAGGTAATGTATTTTACCGCTATTGTGATCGAATATTGTAAGTGTTGACTTTCTCCTTTGGGTTCATCTTACAAGGTACCTTATTTTATTTTGACAGCAGCTGATTATTGTGCCTTTTAGAATGTATACGGTGTTTGAATTCAAATAAAAGGAATCGTATTCTCGTTTGGATGAAATCGAATTGTTGTAGTTTAACGCCGATCTAAATATTCTCCCTCAGATGGCGCAACTGTCACATGGTATAAACCAACTCCGGTACAGACAACATTGGATTCAACTAAAGCGCTCACCCCTGGCAAGTTAGAGGTCTATGAAGGATCTTCTGCCACATTGCATTGGAACTACAGTCTGTCGTCAACTTTACTTTTAGTTCAATTACGATTTAAGGGTGTTTTTATAGTCGCCGTTTCACCAGATGGACAAGCTGGTCCTGTTAATGCTAGTTTTCGGCCACGGTTCAGCGTAAGCTCGACTCCGCAAAGCGTTTCTCTGTTGATCTCTAAAGTGACTACTGTTGACGATAATTCAAATGGGGAATTTAGCTGTGAGTTGAATGATTTAGCTGGTGCTAAATGGAGACGTGCAATTCAGGTGCAAGTCGTAGGTAAGCTTAAAAGTTTCGCTGACTTTTTAGAGATTCTTACCATTAATAACTATAATATAATATTATCCAGCTTTGGTCCTTTGGGCCCAGTGAAAGTGTAAGTAGACTTTTGGAAGACAAGAATAATTCTTCATGCTAAAACTTTCAACATTCCCTTCAACAAATTTATTTAATGAACTGGATTTTATGTTATGGATTTTGTTTTGCGTGACACATTTAATCCAAGGTGGTTTTCAATGGTTCACTCTACTGTTGTGTTTTTTAGTTGTTGAGGTTAGTAATGGGGACTTTGGAATGGAAACACAGCAAAAACCTATCAACGAAAAAAGCTTAAAAATTAGGACTCATCACAAGACTAATGAACATATATATTATCTGCATGTATTAGAGGATTAAGTTACTTGAACTTCTCTGACAGTAATCACATGTGTTTGTGAGATCAGTGTGACAAAAATATGTAGGAAATCGTGCTTGTAAACATGATTAAATCACCCCTTTTGCAGGAACAGTTTTCTGAGAGTGAAGCTAAAGGAAAACTGTGAGTTTGAAGGAACAGATAATGCCCAAGGACAAATATATAAACATATATTTGCACCAAATCATGGCTAATGCGTTTATTATACTTCAATTATGAAAATGTATGGAAAAATATTCATGAACAGTCTACGGTTTGCTTGGTATGTTCTCGACTTTATGACAGATAGACATGCTCTATCTTCTGTGACAACCATAAAGCACTCTCTCATCTTGAATTAAATTGGTGGACAAAAGGTTTGTAAATTGGGGAAATCTTACTAGGAGGATATTCTTGTTTATGATCCATCAAATGTTTTCGCTTGTGACTGATTGGTCTAAACACATCATGTGACTGAATATCCCCTAGTTAAAACTGGGGATATATAAAGATATCACCTGAGACATGTTTCCCCCATTTTCAAACCTTATGTCCACTGGGATAAGTTTTTGTTTAAAATTTAATTCAAGACAAGGGAGTGTTTTGTGGTTGTTACAGAAGAGGAGAAATATTTATTTGTTCATAAAGTCACACGGGTGAACACTCAAAAGCAAAAATCTTACACGGCAGACAAACAGCTGTTTGCAAACATTTTTTAACTCACATTGTAAAATATTTGATGGATAATAAACACAATAGCCTCTATTTTGTGCAACAGCATACCTATGTATTTGTCCTTGGACATTATGTGCTCCTCAAAGCTCACAGTTTTTGTCAGATAATGTCTGGACAAATATTCCTGAATATTTTCATGCAAAATAGAGGCTATTGTTTATATAGATATATTAACTCTCATGTGATGTGTTTAGACCAATTACTTGTGAGCAAATATATTTCAAGGATTATAAGGATGATCATGTGAGAATGGTGTGATCACAAAGCAGTAGTAAACTTGACTGATCCTTCAAATTTTTTGGCACTTAACATGTTGCTGTTTTTCACAAGGCCAACAGCAATAATGAATAAGTTTCAAACATGTGTACAATCATGTATAACCTTATTAAAATTAGATAAACTAAAAAGAGATCTAGAAATGAATTCTTAGCATTCTTGGTACATTTAATACAAAGAGTTGTTGATCTCTTTATACTGGAAAACTTGCAATTGTAATAGCAGATGAGTAATCAGAAATATCAAAATTCATTTTTTTCTCAGAGGGCACAGTAACGAATCCTACAATCTGATTGGCTCTTAATGCAGTCCATATTTTCTTAACTCCGCCTACAGGCACAGTAACCCTTTCATGAGTTGCTGAGAACATCCCAAGCTTCATTGACACTTTCATGAATAAATTTTGTTTTTACGGCTGGGGAGTATTTTCAAGCAAATTATTTTAAGCATATCAAGCTGATTAACAACTTTTTAATCCTCTCTTTTCTCTTTTTTCTCTCTCTCAAATCGCCTCGGTTTGCCAGCAAAAAATTGTTATTGAAATGAATTTGTGGTAGCAAATGTGTCATTCAACTGGTTGACATGCAGCCTATTAAAACAGTTTTTGATAAACTTTAATCCCTCACAAAAAGTAAGTCAGGAAGTTACAACTGAGAGATATTTGTTTACATTTGAATTAATCACTGAAACTTTTCATTCATTTAATATCTGAATTCCCTCAAACAATGTGTTCATTGTAAAATGATGGTGTTTGGTAAGTCTGTTCAATTGGGCCATTTGTGTTATAAATTACAGATTGAAAACAAAAGGAATACAACAAGAAAAAGCGGCACAATGTTCCCTTTGAGTCGAGTTAAAGTGTTTCATTTGATGTTAGTTTTTTTGTTGGAAAAAGACAAGAGTTACATGCACCACTGCAGCAAACAAATGAAGAACCTCCCATAACTTGAAAAATACATTTGAATTTACTTAAAATTACTTTCCTTGCTGTTTTACTAACTGAGCAGAGGTATTCTCCCTACCCTAATCATTAATGGGAGTGGACAATACTTTCGTAAGATCATTGAATGCTTTTGAAGAAAAAATTGTTTTGACAGTCATTGAACTTTAATTTGTTTCCCAAATCAGTATTGCTTTTTTTTTTTTTTTTTTTTTAACTTTATTAGGCAATACAAGGAAATATCATGCAAACATCAGAACATTCCCATATGAAACCAAAAATCCAAAGCTAAAATTTAGAATTAACTTTTTCCTTATATCACGTACAGTCTGAGTGAATGTAAAAAGAGCTGCAGTATGTACCTCTATAGCGCCAGATCATATAGCAATATTTTGTGGGCATAGTGTTAGAAAGTGAGCTAAAAAGAGAACCTGTTACATTGAAATGTAATAATACTCTACTAAATGATGAAACCCATGTAGATCTAATAAGATTCCCCTATCCTCAGATACTAGGAAAATACAAAGATGTAGAAAGTAAACAACTTTTGTGGGAGCTAATCATAATGGAAATTTGGTCCAAGACTATAAGCTACTCTAAGAGAATAAGAGCTGAGTATAAAAAAATGTGAGGCCGCCCTTCAAAATAATCTAGAAGAACTGGATCACAAAATATGTCATAATGCAGATCTTGATACTCATATCCTTGATGAATATGACGCAGTTAAAAAGGAATTGAATACTATGTAGGAATTCAAAGGTAAGGAGGCCATCTTTAGGTCTAAATCTAGGTGGATAGAACAAGGTGAAAACCAACAAAATACTTCTTTAATTTAGAAAAGAAAAACTATGCAATGAAGACATTACTTCAAATTAAACCAGACAACAGTGAAATCACTTCAGATTGGAAAAAGATAAATTAGCAAATAGAAACCTTTTTCAGTGAAACATATAAGTCCAGGCTTGCTGATATTCCATTAGATGAGCAGGAAATAGGTTTTAATGACTTTATTAGGAGCTCAGAAGTGCCAAAATTGTTGAATGAGGAACAAGCATCACTCAAATACAACCTGACACTTGAAGGAAAAAAATGTCTTGCTTTCATTTGAGGAAAATAAAACTCCTAGTGAAGACTGTTTCAGCAAAGAGTTTTATGAAACTTTCTTTCATCTTTCAAAACAGGATTTACTTAACTTGTATCATGAAGCTTTTCAGAAAGGAAGCCTCTTAGTTTCCCAGAGAAGAGTAGTAATTCCTTTAATATGACAGCAACTTGTCAGAACTAACTGGCTGGTGTCCCATAACATTGCTTAATGTTGATTGAAAAATCTTAGGGGAGAGTATTGCCAAATGAATTGAACCTTTTTTACCCAACCTTATTCGGACCAAATGGGATTTGTAAAGGATAAGTATATTGGCCAAAACATAAGACTTTTAAGTGATCTAATGGAATGCATAGATGTTAAGAAGCATTTTGGAATCTTCCTATTTATTAGTTTTTAAAAAGCATTAGATTCTATAGATTCAATTTTCTGATGGAAAATTTCCTACACTTGAAGAATTTCAAAATAAATTCAATATTAAGGTCAATTATTTGCATTATTTTCAATTAGATCTTTAGATCTGAAAAGAAAGGCTCTTGATTCTCCTGTCCCTGGTCTACTCAGTGCATCATCAGAATACTTTCAGTTGAAAGACAGAACAATAGCTTTAACTAAATTTCACTGTAAAAATTATTATAAACTGTTTATTGATACTGAACCCCCAGCAATAAGGTCTTGGAAGAAATATTTTCCAGAACTTCCTGATTGGAGCAGCTGTTTTGTTGATATAGATGTCTCTGAAAGATGATAAACTTAGGCAATTTTCTTTTAAAGTTATGCATGGAATAATTCCTATCAAGAAAGAAATATAAATTGACTACTGATGAAAAAGGCCCCCCTATGTCTTAATCTAGACTCAATTGAACACACTTTTATAAATTGTCAAGAATCAACTCATTTCTTTACAAAAACTTTAGGATGGTTTAATGTTTTTCACAAGACTAAGGTAAAACTCTCTCTCTTTAATTTGCAATACCTTTGTTCAACTACTATTTACTTGCTTCAAAATTATGAAAGTATCTTGCTGTAATTAGTACAGCCAGAAAATCATTCGGATCTTTTGGCTAGTATTTCATTAAGTCTGAGAAGAAGATAACAATGTTATTTACTAGCCAAGGTGGATCTGTATTGGAAAAACAGTGTCCACTGTCTTAAGTACGGCCTTGGGTAGTACCCAAGACAGAGGTAGAAAGCACAGGGAAAGCTAGTTTACTAACTTAACCCCTTACACCCTAACATCAGTATACATATTCTCCACATTGTTCTTTATACATTTCCAAAGGTGCTGACAAGGAGAATTTGTTTGCCAATCAAAAGGTTCCTTCCCTGGTGACCATTTCCTTTATTCTCATGACTTTAATGTTTGATTCAGGAGTGATATTGTTGGGAGAATTTAGATGCTAGTCACTCTGAGGGTTTAAAGGGTTACACTGTAAGGGGACGTCTCCTCAAGCAATGAAATCAGGTGTAAAATCCTATCACTCTAATTAAATTTCACACAATTTTGAACAGGAGGGGTACATTTTCAAATCTGTGTAGAGAATTAAGGATATTGCTGAACATTTGTTTTCTTTCTGGTTTTTCTCATCAAAATTTTACAGATAATATGGATTACGTCTGAGGCCATTACAATTGATAAATTATAAAATCCCTCACACAGTTTTTTGGTTGGTATTGTGAGAGTCTTTGGGTCTAATTTCAAGGCTTTTAAGTTTTCAATATACCCCAATAATATGTTTAAAGAATACAAACTTGCATGAAAACCACATTGTACAATAAGTGGCAAAAGTCTCAGCATGCTCCACTTATTTTTGAATTTTTCCTAATTTACCCAATCATAACGTGTGAATTTCATTTGTATGTGCAAGGTTTGTGAAGAAAATTTAAAAATCATGTTAACAGTATTATCGCTTTTGCACATTGCTTCTATGTGTACATGCCATTCAATTATCCTTGAAGTTTACTTGTGATTGTTTGATCACTCTTAGTTCCACTAAAGATCATTGAAATTAGTGGTAAAACAACTGTTCTTGAAGGCAGCAACTTGCATTTAACCTGCACCACTTTGGGTCGACCAGAACCAAACATCACCTGGACCAAAGAGAAGCCTGGGAACCAAGGAAATACTGTTGTGGTGCAAGAAGGAAAGGTGCTGAATATAACAGACATCAATAGGACTGATGCAGGAAATTATACCTGTACAGCAAACCATGGCTTTGGTACACCAGAGAACCAAACAGTTTATGTGAATGTTACTTGTAAGTATGCATTGAAAAAATGTTTGAATAATGTTAAACAGAGATGCACTTTCGTTTTTTTTTCTATGTCAATGTACTGTGCTGTCAATTACTGGATTAGTGTTAAGCCAAGTACATCCATGCAGGGGTCCAAGCTCAAATTTTTAAAAAATCACCTGTTGACAACCTTCAGTTTTAAAAAATTGGTCACCATTATTTAAGTTGCACTACACAAAGTATGTAGTGAGCTGAACGACAAGATCTCAACACTTTCATTTGCCAACTTGGTATGTGAAATAATCCTTTCTTTGCTCCTTTGCCAATTAATAATGGTAATTGGACTAAGTGGAGTCCAACTTGGTCTGTAATCATACAAGTGATCAACAAATTTGGACAAGCGCTAAGTGGGAGCACACCTTAGTTTTACTTTTTCAAATTCACAATTTAAAGCTTCTAACAAAACAACGACAACTTGTAATAAGATTTTGATGAGCACTGTTCCTTAATATGTGGTACAGTAAGTGTCATTTTGAAAGAGCAATGTAATGAACAACATTATTGTTATCCTTGTATCCTTGACAACTTAAAGAATTTTATAGGAAAAAATATCTGGTTTTGATTGTAATGTTTCATCATAAAATTATTTATAATCTGCTCAAGCTGTCATATGAAGCGAACTCTCAGGGAAGATTGTAATGAGCACTATCACTTCACACAATATCATGGGTGTAAACAAACCTAATCCTCATCAAGTTTAATTTTTTTCAACCCACTAAAGAGGACTGTCTGGCTTGTGTACTTGTATATCCCTTCACAAGGTATATACATATTAGCTGTAATCTTAAATAACTGAATTTTATACTTAAAAAAATAACATATACTTGAACCTTGGTTATTACTGTGCTATTCCAAAATAAAATCCATTTCCCCTTGACCATTTTCACAGTTATTAAAAATTTCCTTTCAAACTTAACCCCTGCTATTTTCAATAATCTATAAATCTACCAATTTTACATGAAACAAAAGAATATAATTCAAGTTGGCCAATACATGAATTAGCTGGCTCTAAGAGTCCTTTGATTAAATCTTATTTTTATTTCCAATTTTATGTACAGATCCAACCAAGATTGTTAATTTTAGCACTGAGTATTTAGCTGGTGTAGGACAAAGTATAACTCTTTACTGTGAAGCAGAAGGAAACCCTCCTTCTATTTACACTTGGACTCCATGTAACAAGTTTGTAAAAGGACAAGTTTGTGACAAGAAGACTCTTGTTATTTCACAAGTCTGTGAAGATTCCAATTATACCTGCAAAGTGGTCAATGGACTTGGATCTGATTCAAAAACTGCCAATGTTTGTAAGTGACTGTTTTGTTTAACTTCTTTACTGTTTAACAATGGGATATTTTGTACTTCCTTCAAGCCGTTTTAAATTGGCAAAAGTGATCTCATGATGATTTTATCTTCTTCACAGCCATTGGAGGAAAGTCGATTAATATAACTATTAAAATCGCTGATGGAAAATACAATGAATCCTCACTGTCAGATGGATTTGATAAAGAGGTAACAACTTTTATATATCTTTTTACTTCTACATTGGTTAAGCTCAAAATTACATACCTTTAATTTGTGTATATAATGCAACTGTGCAGCTACATGTATGCCAATCACTTTTCATGTTTCAGGTTGGTAAGTAATGCTGGTTGCTTAAAAGATTTCTAAATTTATTGATGTGTGGGAGCTCAATGCAAGCTTTGCTTCTATGCACACAAAATTTATGCACTCTTTTAAAGTTTGGAGGTCACTCTAATTTCAACACAATATTTACAGCATACATAGGTGATTGACCAAGTGTGAGGTCAAGATGGTTGGAAATTGGCTGTGTTCCTTTTTCCGTTTTTATGGACTTAAGGACCACTTTTTGCAACTCCATCGCAGCCATTGTCCAAAAATTACAAAGTAATTAAGGTTACCCCATGCAATATTTTTCTTGCGCTGGATCTGCACGGGCAATCCCAAGCGGGTAAGATGGGCTCGTCTTGCTCGCTCAGGTAGCCAATCAGAACGTACATGTATTGCTTCTTCTTGCCCAAGGGTGCTGCCAGCGATATAATAAGTTTACTTATTGGCTTCATTCATTATATGTACAGTACCTCTCAAAGGTTAGTTGACAGTCCCTCGAACCTCGATCCTCGATTCTCGATGCTTGATACTCACTAACTTCGAGGATCGAGGCTCGAGTCGAGTATCGAGACCCTCGAAACTTGGTTCGAGACACTTGAAGTTAGGAAACAATGAGTTATCGCGCGATTAATTTTTCACACGATTTGAAGTTCCTTACCTTTAGTCTAATCCATGCGTCGTTACCAATGGGGGAAACTTCGCTCGAAATATGAAACGAGTGTAGTTCTTTTTTTTGGACAATAACCTCGCGAAGATTAATATTGTACTGTAGGCATGACCCTCTTCGTTTCTCGAGCGAAACTTTGCTCGAAATTCATGTGTAGTTCTGATATTTTAGACGATAACCTAGAGAACATTATTGTCTTTACTGTAACCCTCTCCATTGATTTGAGAGAAACTTTGCTCAAAATTCTTGTGTAGTTCTGATTTTTTGGACAATAACATCGTGAATATTATTTTTACTGGATGCGCAACTCTCTTTGCTAATTCGCGCCTGAACGTTGTTATTTATCACGGTGTCGAAGAGCGTCTTTGCCACTTCGTCATATCCGAAATGTCCGTCATTTACACATCTCCAGTTTCATCATCGAACACGGTTTTCAGGTTTCCTAGTTTTACTTTATGAAGTTTGACTCTGGAGCTTGATGCTGATCGAAAAAAATGGAAACGAAATGCTGCTTTGCTGCCTCTTTGACGCGAGAATGTGTAACGAGACGATGGCGTGACGTCGACTAGCGACTTTGTTAGTTTACACCGTACTTTGTCAGGACTTCCACTTTCAGAAACTCAGTGTAAATTGATTGTTGAGTACTGTTCTATTGACAACTTTTCTCATTTGTCATAGAACGAGCTTCATCGGCAGGGTTTTTCTTACTTTGGAGTGGATATTTGTGAGTAGGGGTCACAGACAATCCAATTTATATTACATGAAACTTACGAACGTCGCACGTTGCCGTAGTTTACAATATTTGCACTTCGTTCAATGAAATTATTGCAATTTATCCATATGTTTTGATTTTCGCTAATATCGTTTTCAATCAATAAAAAGCGTCGTCAACAGCTTAAGATGATAGCTTCAGTGGAAATATGGTTGTTTACATTTTTATCGGTCGTTTGATCTATTCTGTGATCGGAGAAAACTGCCAGCGCTTGTAAGCTCGAATTTCATGTGTTCTGAAATTAACTTTTGTAGACGTAAATATAAATGTAACGCATGCCTTATTCAATAACATCAACACCAAGACAGGGCTTGGCTAAAGTTCGAGTCTTGTGCGATATGAAAATATGTTTATGTCTGCGAGCTGTCTGTGTGTTTTAAGAATAGCCGCTTGTCAAGCGCTTTGTCCTTCGCTATTATTTTGCGGGCAATAATTAAATCGTTTTCTCGATACTGCAGTTCGAGATCCTCGAAAAGTCCTTCAAGTGTCTCGATCCTCGATTCTCGATAGTTTCGAGTATCGTGGATCGAGTACCGAGTCGAGACTGTCAACTTACTTTTGAGCAGTGCGGTATGTCTACTTTCTAGTAATCATGAATTTAGGTTCTTGAAGTTTCTTACACTCAATTGAAGTCCCTCCTGAACGTTGAGAAATCTTTAATAGATGAGGACAGTTGTTGTCTGACTGAACATTGTCTGTTTTAAAAGAGAATGTTAATTTGTACTGAGGGTTTTACAGAAGCTGTCCGGAATATTTTCTGACAGAAAATAAGCAAAGTTGGCACATTCAACTTGTAAATAAGTATACAGTATCAGGTTCACGGAAGAAATGAACCACTTTGCTTTTGTTCACTTGATACAGTGTACCGCACTTGTCTATTACCTTTCAGTTCCAAAAGGTTTTCACTGGGCACGGTTATGAAAAAGTGGAAGTGAGAGGTGACAGGTTTGTAAACCATTAGTATTCATTAATTTAGTTGGTCTCCGACGTAAATTGTACTTTTCCTTTTTGTGATATGTTCCACTTTAATCCAACCTTCAGTTGTTTTCTTTCCCATGATTTAGTATTGTTGAGCTATCACTGCAATTCAGCACCACCATAACCCAAACATATGTTGTTACAAGACTTCGTGATGCTGTCAAGGATGGGCGTCTCGGAAAGTTCGCTGTTCATTCTACATATATAAATGGGACCTTTTGTGATGCTACACCAACAACACCAACACCAACACCAACACCCACAGGTTCCCCTAAACGTAAGTTTTGCGACACCTCACTGAGATGTTCATAAGCTGGTACATGTTACAAAATCCCATAATCCTGCCTGATGATTACGAGCACATTTTCAGCATATTTTGACGTAATCATGTATTCATTTAGAATAAATGAGACTAAAGTGACTCAAATGCTTAATTGCACTGGTATCTGTGTGCAACATAAAGGAACAAAAAAAATGGTGATAGCAGTTTGAACTGGAGTTGTAGTTGGCGATAATAATTGACTGGTTTGGTTTCATAGTTGAAGAGAGCAATAACTCCTCTGTGTGAAACTTCCACATCATTCAAGTCACCCCCTTTTTCTGACATTCTTAAATGCTATGGAGACCTCCATGTATTACTGATATACATTGAATGAGCACCTCCACTTGTGGATGGAGATGGTGAATCTTACCGATTTTAAGGGTTCAATGGCAGGTACTCATCAGAGTGCATAGTGGTCACTCCACTATAGTTGGGAATTTTCATCTCAATTTACAGTTGTACTTGTACATGTACAACAATTTTTACATTGATTTCCAATTTCCCCACCTAAACTTGAATACACAAACGGTCACACAAGCAAAAGCAACCATCACATGAGAATAAGCTCAAACATTTCATTACGTTTCATTATGTTAGTGAGTTGCCATCTTGAATGTTTTCCGTGTAGTTTCGATTTGTGTTGGACACCAGTTTACACAAATAGTTACATGCTATGATTATTCATATTCAGTATCTATGTTATGCTAGCATCGAACCATTATGCGTGCTTCATGTTTACCTTCTCAGTAGTCTTAGCAAAGAACGATATTACTTTTTTTCTGCAAGTGAACGCCTATAGTTGAAGTCTTTTATCTTTAATTCTCAAGTAACTATATGACATGTTACTATGTGACATGTTGTGCTACAATCAGCGAACGATAATATTTCGAATGATACGAGGATGTCAGTCGAGTGATGATGAAAACGTTCGTTATTATAGACTAGTTAATGGAAGTAAATGTTTACCTGCCCCATTCCAGATAAAAAAGCAAAAACAAAATTTATGTCGTTGAAAATGCAAACCGTCTGGTGCTGAACACCTTGAGAGTGAGGTTGACGGTATGGTTAGGAAACCCTACCGTCTACCATTACTTTTTGCGCAATTGTTTACAATTACCGTTCAAGCTCTCAAATCTAAATCTCAATTTGCTCCGATAACCTCAATACTGCTGCCACATTGCTTAAAGAAAGATTAATGTCCTTCCATTCCACTACCATAGCTAAAACAGCTTTAGAGCTCAACAGCAGTTTATTTTTAAATTGGAAAATAAAGTGACAGGTAGAGATCATCCGCATAAAGGAATGCTTAGAACTGATATGAACAGCCTCCAATAGCAAAATTACGTACGTGTACAATTCATAAGTTTGCGAACAATATCTTCTATCCAGGCAAAGTTATGGATTTCGACAACTTAATTCTGCTCGTAGCATTTAAGAAATAAGGTTTATCAAATAGGTGTAGGTTCATTTTCTTGAAAATTTTTATACAAACTTTTATTGACGACCTGTATTACCATCAATACATTAACTATAATTTTTTTACAATACATTACCTACAATACATCACTTACGATACATTATTCAAAATGAGTTGCTTGCAATTAAATCCTACAATTATTAAATTATTTACAATGCTAACATTAATTGAATATAAACATTACTGACATCAGTTACATCAAGTTCTTTATTTTGAATATCTCTTTTCCTAAAACATGCAAATGGTATTTGGTTTTTTTTCAGGCTTGAAGAAAGGTATCATCATCGCCATCGCCATCGTTGCCTCGCTGTTCCTCGGTATTATTATTGGGAACTTATGTTGCTGGTACTGCAGCACAACGATTTGTATTGTTGTTTTCTTCGGATTTATCCGAAAGTGTCTATGCAAGAAAAATCCGGATTCAAAGGGTAAGTATTGCACGTTCTAATCGCCTTTGTGACTTTAGACCAATTTCAATCAATTACTGTATATTCTAATCATTTTTTTGCTCAATATATGAACAAGTTCACCATAGGGTCACTTTGATTGAATTTCAAGATAGCGTTTGGGTTTAATTTTCACTGTACGTGTACATCTGTAATTGCCAGAGATGTAATCAAAATTACTGGAGACAGTCAGACTTCTGAAACATCTACTCGAAACGCATGTTTAAATGTATAAAACAAAAGAAATAACGTAATCATCATTGAAAGAAGCAATAACTTTTTATGCAAGAAAAATCTAGCTCCTAATTTTTAGAGTTGAGAATCCCAAGATCAGTTCGTGGTACATATGATAATTCTGTTTTGCCTTTGAATAGTTTGCTAACCCGTACGTTGCCTAAAGCAGTGACTTGCATTGGTATATGTGGATTGATTATTAATCCTCTACAGTATAATTATGTACCAATTTATTTACTATGTGTTCTTTTTTAAAACGCTATTGTAAGAAGTCCATTCTAATGGAGGCCAAGACGCGGGGATGTAAGTATTGTGTACTTGTTGAATTTTTTTTTCTGTTACTAGGGTGTCAGCTCTTTTTTTGTACTTATTCGTTTATCAACTGAGTGTTTGTTTTTTAACATATTTGGATACGTATGAATGGAATGCTAGTTACTGCTTCACTGACTTGTGAAATTTGAAGCATATCTATTTTTTCCCTTTTCATCTTTTTATTTGTTTGTTTCATCATGTACACGAAGGTGTATATTCAGTCATGGTTTTTAAATTCATTTTGAATGCGAATAAACTGTAACATCTGGAAAACCTATTCTGAGGGATCAGGTAGCGGAGGGTCAAATTTAAGGAAAAGTCACTGTGCATTGTAGGGAAGCGGGTTATTGCTCACCCGACACCCAGTATGCAGCTGCGGGTCCTAAGGCCAACTATCGAGCCTCCAATCCATCGTCTGAACCTTCAGTGACTTATGAAGTTGCTAATATGGGTTCTGAGGGAAGAAGAGGGAATAGAGCAGGTGGACCGAGAGAGCAACTTTCAGAATATGCAGTGGTCGATAAAACCAAGAAGAAAAAGAGGGTAAGGTTCCGCAATGAAGGAACTCTAGTAAACGGATCTTACACTTTGATTGTGACCAGATCCCAGTAAAGTTGTTTTATAACCGAGTGATCAAACACATTTATTACTTTTCTCTCGTGACAATAATTTACACGTTCTCAAGACTACATTCTGCTGTTAAAAAAGTTAAAATGTGATTCAAAAGTCGATACTCCACCGACTGTACGGAGTATTGCAGATTTCTTTAAGAGCGTTTCTGCGCAAGAAAAGGAACGCACAATAGAAATACTTCCACCGGACCATTTACTGATGAAAGGAACGATAAGGAAATTTAAAAGTCAACATTTTGCAATTGTTTGATTCGGTTACCATGGAAAACCAAGGCTTGTTGCCATTTTTGTAGCTAGATAAGGCCAAGCTTGATAACGAGCAGTAATGTTTAATGTCAGTTAGACAGCGTTCGTCGCCATGCCTACTCCAAACCATTCTCCACCACACAAAGATACGCACCTGTCCACAGTCCTCCAAAAGAAAAATTTACTACGGCGGCTTATCAACATTTGTCAACCACTACTTGATAGCCAGCTAAGTGGTCTCTGCATGTTTGCGTATATGAACCCACCGACCCACTGACCCCCCCCCCCCCCCCCCAAAAAAGCCAAATTAGCCTCTGCAAAGCGTCTCTTCCTGTAGGACACCTGCACCATTTTAAAGGTTACATTTTTATTATGAAAAATTACAAGTTTATTAATTTTTGATGAACCGCTGTCAGAAGAATGCCCACGATTGTCTGTTTCGTTCAACTACAACTTGTTTTTCTATCGCTGGCAGGGACCTAAACCTGGTGAGCTTCAGTATGCTGAGCTTGATCAAATTACTGGTCGTGGACAGAAGGCAACAATGCCACGTGTTAGTGGTACCGATACTGTGTATGCGGACATTAAATCGTAGAGGATGTGTGCCGCTATGGTACAGCTCAGAGGTAATGGCCTTAAATGCACGAGAAAAGCGCATTAAAAAAAAAAGCGCGTACACGCGTGCAATTTTTCCAAACGCACTCAAAAAAAGCCCGCGCGCGAAAGAAGCTCATTAGTATGTATGAGGCAGTCTTTTGTTTTACCCTTGGTACAATTTCATATTACTGAAAAAATTGCGTTTTAGCTTGCATTTAACGTATTTGCACAGATTTTAGCGCTATTTCACATGTGGTCTTCCACTCACATTTTAAAAATTTTCAATATTTACTGGGTCCAATCCATTATGATACCACCGGAAATATCATCCAAAAGTGTTGCAAATTGCGCCAGTGATTGACATTTTAGAACCATGAATTTGCTTAATTAAGGGTTCGACTTCCAGAATTTTTCCAGTGTCCATGCTGATGGCAGTGACAACCATTTAAAGAGGAAAAACCTCTTCTTTACCACGTGCGTGAGCACTTGGTCACTGATGGGACCTCTCACATTTTCAGACTTCACATAATTATCCACAATGTCGCACTCTATGTTCTGATGAGTGTTTTTCTTCACAATGGAGGCAATTCACGCACCATTCAAAGTTACAAAAAGGGTAAAACAAAAGACTGCCTCATACATACTAACGAGCTTCTTTCACGCGCGTTTTTTGAGTGCGTTTGAAAAAATTAAACGCTGGCTCGCTTTTTTTTTAACGCTTTTTTTTAACGCTCTTTTCGCGTGCATTTAGGGCTAAGTACCTATGAGCTGTACCGTTTTTTCTCTATGTGCCTGTTCCTTCAGATGCTATCAAAACTGCTGAAGTATTCTGCTACATGGAAAAACATAATGCATAGATTTAAATTTGTTGTCAAAAATGTGAGAAGGTTCAAATTATGTGGCGTCTTATCGCCGACCGGAAGTACCACCATAAAGCTACAGAAAAGTCGTAGTTCACATCATCTTATTCAGGAAAATCTTAATTTAGTTCATTTTCAACGACCTAATTTTCGCCTTCGCGATATACAAAACCAGTTTGGTCAATATATTAACGTGAGCACATTCCATGTAGCAACGTATGAAAAATAACCACTCGATACCACGTCCTTTTCGTAAAAGAAAGAAAGAAATCCCGGAAGCAATTTAAGGTCTTTTTTTTTGTCAAGTATCTGTGTTCATTCCTCAAACTTAGAAAACATTGAACACCTTTGATTCTTCGGGAATGTTTACAATTTTAGTGCTTAGGAGATCAAGAACCGTAAGAATACGAGAACCACAAACTCAGCTATGTTGCTCTCAGCTTGGTAATGTTTTCCCATTGACGGCACAATAACATTTTTTCTTGAAGTGCATTGTTTTCTAAGCTTGACAGTAAATCAGTTTTTGCTTAATTTGGGAAAGTGGAATGTACTTCGGCAGTTTTGTATGCACACCTGGTTGAACTTGTTCGGCGAGCTTTCAATTTCCCTTTAATTAGCTGTTTAGCCTATAAAAATTTAGAATAGATATTCTAGCGGAACCTCTGCAGCTTAAAAGTATATTTTCCTAATAATCACAAAATGGTGCTACTTAGTGGCTAAGCCATTGATTTTCACATTATTTTAAACATCCCACAATTTATCCAATAATTTGTTGGGTGAGTAAATTTTCAAACAAGTAAATTTTATAAAATACCGCAGTTTAGTGAGATGTGCAAGGATGTGTGACGAGTCGAATGTGATGACCCTCTTTCCATGTCTTTCTTTCTTGGTGAAATTGGAGCAGATCGTAGATATAAACGAGCGCCTCTAATGTGAAGGTTATTTCCTTTAATTAGTAAATTTGTGAAAAAACCATTTCAGTGAAAGATCTGGGAAATTTTGTGTGGGTTTGTCTTTTGAGGCACTTTTTTTGTTATGTTTCCCCGTTCAAATAATCTCTTAAGATTTCAGCGCTATTTTTAGTCAAGGGTAGAATCATTAATTGTTGATTTTTTTTTTATATGAGGATGTTTGGAGTATAATATCATTATATAGTATCGCGTAAGAGCATAATACTTACATAATACTGGGTGATTTCAAAAGAGCCATAGAGTACCACAACCTACATCTTAAAATAGCTAAAGAAGTAGGAGACAAGCATGGGGAGGGTAAGGCTTATTGCAATCTTGGCAATGCTTATGACAGTCTGGGTGATTTCAAAAAAGCCATAGAGTACCAGAACCTACATCTTAAAATAGCTAAAGAAGTAGGAGACAAGCATGGGGAGGGTAAGGCTTACTTGGGAATTTTGCACTTGGCATATTTTTCTTTGTGATTGTGATTTGTCTTTCCATTTATTTTGATTAATCGTAATGTGAATTTTCCTCGATAAATTAAGCGTAATTTCTCTTTGATTTTTTTTAATATAATTGTCTAGTATGGGTGTATCTTCTTTCTCAAATGTTTAAATGGTAGAAGAACTGAAAAAATCTTTACTATTGATTTTGCCATCAGGTAAATTAAGAAGGAATTAATTTATATGCTTAGACCTTTCTTTTTTGTAGTGTTGAATTAGTCGATTGGTAGTTTTTTTCCACTCTTAACAGTTCTAAGTATATGCTGTGTTTAATGGCGCAAATATAACCAAAATAATGAGTATAACTAGTGATTACACAGCAGATGATTGTAGTCAAATCACGTGATTGAAAATTTGAATCAGTTCCTAGTTTTAGAACACGTTTGTAGGTGCTTGCACGGCACATTGAACACATGAGAGATCTTTTCTCGATTTATTGCATTAAATTACTGTAGAAGTGTTTTTGATCATAGCAAATCATTTGAACGAGTTCCTGTTACGAAGGATTATGATGAAAAAAAAAAAAAGTTAAATCATTGTATTCTATGAAGTTGTAGCTAATTTTAAGGTAATAATTTTTTTATATTCATGAAAAGTTTAGATTTCAGTAGATTTACTGCTATATTGTAGCCACGTCAGTAAGTTTTTATCAGTTTCAAACTGCATGGCATTGTACCAGCCAAGCAGTGGCTATCGAGTGTTACCTGGAGTAAGAACATCGCGCAGCCTGCCTATTGTTTTAGAGAAATTTACTTCCAGATTATAGATCTGTGGTAATTTTGGCGAAACTTGACCTGGAGAGAGCTCTTATCGTTCAAAGATTACGTGCGTTTCCCTTCCCGATCCTTTGAAAGATACAATTCGGATTGAATTAAAATCCAAACCGGTGATCACCTGTTGTTCAGAGGGAGGTTCTTACTCAGGAATTACGAGATATGGTAGCCTATTAGCTGCTTCACTTTATTAATAAGCTTATTTACAGTAACTACAGTTATAATAATGGCATTTATATTTACTGCAAACAGTTCTAATCAGTGCGAGACAGTTGCCCTTAACTTTCTATTTTGCTGTCCATCTATGGTGAGGCGTGGTCGTTCCATTTGTAATAGTGACGCGACTCTCTCTGCAACGTCCTTTAGAAATGGGTATTTGTCACGCTGATACTGAAGTACTATCAATTGTAGCTTCTATATTGTGTAGAATTTATGCTTAATAAATGCTGATAAAATCAATTCGGATGATTTTGTTTGGTGTTTTAAATAATCATTTGAAAGCGAAGGATACAGGTGCGCCGTGAAAATTGCAACTTCGAAAGTTGTTTACAAATTTCCTTTACAAGAGAGGTGCTTAAATAAAGAGTCGACACAACATGTTAAGTTACAGCAAACAGAAAGCGGGAGAATCATAGGTAAATTGAGACTTCAAAGAAAAGTCTACACGACGAAATCGTTGACGTTTGCTTTGAGCTGCTTGTTGTAAATTTTCATGTCGATAAATTGCAACAATTTGCTTTAGAGGATGATGACAATGGATATGAAATTTATTACAGAGGGGACAACATTTGTTTGTGAGTAACAAAAGAAGGTCTTAAAACAACTCAGAAAACAAGTGGTCAATTTGTTTTCAAACTTTTGTTGCCTCAAATTGATTAACCCTTTACACCCTGAGATCATTTTGCATCTTCTCTATTCTATTCTCTATAAATTTCCAATTGCACTTGAAGGAGAATTTGTTCAACAATCAATGGGTTTTTAACTTGGTGATCATTTCCTTTGTTCTCATGACCTTATTGTTTCATTCAGGGGTAATACTGTGAGGAGAATTTAGTTGTTAGTCACTCCCAGGGGCTGAAGGGTTAAATGATGCAAAAGTATAGCATGAATACAATAGTTTTAAACAAATTACTAATTTTTGCATAAAAAGTGAAGTGAGTTGCAGGAAACACCATGATCTGGAGAAAACAGAGCAGCCTGCTTTGCAGAAGAATATAGAAAACCTCCATTTCAGGTAATAAGGGTGAGGATACATGAAGGAAACTCAAAATTAGTTAGCTTTTGGAGCAAGCTTAATGTTGGACAAGTCAGAATAGCAAAGTGGTGCATTGAACTATCCAGCATGTTTTTCTCTCACAAGATGGGGGTTTTAATCTTCTTGTGTTTCCTTTGAATCATTTAATTCACCTTAATCAAGTCCATGCTATTAGCCTTTGTCCTTGAAACACACACACTTTCACACTTTTATTTTTCATTTTCTTACATATTACAAGATATTCCTTTGACCCGCGGATAGCAAATGATAATTGAGGCTGGTCAAATTTGTTTATTTATTTATTTTTACTGACTTAATTTAATTACACTGGAAATAAAACAGAAATGAAGAAATATAACAAAGTGTAAATAAATCCCCACCTTATGTAAGGTTTCCTTATCTTTCATAAGTCAGTGGATGTAGTCTTGCATCCAGGTCATATTGCCAGCATCTCATCATGATCTGGTACTTGGTGTTTGTGAAATGGAATATGCTTCTTAGCCATTAAAATATTCAAATGAAATCAGGAAATTAACAATTAGGACATCAATCACGTGTGGCCCAACATAAGCTATCTTGGAAGGAGCTAAAGACGAATGATGAATGGAAAATGTTTGCCATGATATATTTGGCATCAGTTTTTTAAATAGCGAA